ATTCTTGGGAAGACTGTTCCTGCATAATGGGTTGACTAAATCGCAGTCGGGCAGAGTCTCTGGATTCAATTTCTTAATCTCTACTATCTTCCCTGTCTTCCGGTACCAACCCATATTTATATGGTCGGTAGTCCGCTTATGTAAATTAGGTGTATCATACACAACATATATATATATATATATATATATATATATATATAGATATTTTCGAGAAGTAAAAAAAAAAGAACAAATCTATTTCCATACATTAAGATGTCTGTAGGAACAGACGAAAGCTTGTAAAAACTAAAAAAGACCTTATGAAACTGGAATTTATAAACAGGGATCATATCATTCATATACAGGTTCGGGGTTAGTGTATCTTATTGAAATTGTTTGCGAAGATGTATTCTCGACATTTAAATCATTAACCTCTATATTTGTTTTTTTGTATGAATGATTCGTGTAATTATATATATATATATATATATATATATATATATATATATATATATATATGAAGCAAATATTCCACTGTCGGAGTGTCGGCGACTAAACCATCTGCCTCACTCCAAGTTCATGCGACTGGGGATGGTTGTTAGCAAGCCAATAAGATGAAAAATAAAACCTAACAAGGGTCGGAAGAACTCGATGAGTCAATAGCCAGCTAACTGGAGGCGGTGTCTCCATATGACAGAGGGGAGACGGCAACAGCAAACCACATCCCTATTATTCCCAAGATATAAAGCCTACGAATCTAAAAGAATAGATAATCTACACCCAGAATGTTTACGCATAAAATGCATCCATTCCGTTGTCCTCGATTTTGTTGCTATATTCCCGACGTTTCGACCGTTGTAGCTTCGACCTTCTTCAGGTGGTTGGAATTTTTCTACTGAAATCTTTATTCCGTCCACTGGGGTAGATTTTCTAGTTCCACATGCCATGCCCCTTATCTCCCTTCAACACAACTCTCCAAGTTTTTGATCACCACTGCCGTAGCCAGGTATCGAACTCACAACTCAACGCTTTCATCCACACGGGCCATGTGTCCTTGACAATGTGAATAATATAAATAATGTAAATAATTACACTATCTCATCCAAAATATATGGACAGATCTGAAGAAGGCCGGAACATACAACGACAGAAACGTCGTGAATATGCCACCAGTCCGAACAATGTAAATAGTGTAAATATTTAAAATATCTTATCTCACAAATATAGACAGGTCCTGAAGAAGGCCGGAGCTTTATAACGGCCGAAACGTCGTAAATATGGCAATAAATATGAGGACAACAGTCCGAACAATTTAAATAGTGTAAATATTTACAATACCTCATCTCAGAAATATAGACAGGTCCTGAAGAAGGCCGGAGCTTATAACGGCCGAAACGTCGTGAATACGACAATAAAGATGAGGACAACAGTCCGAACAATGTAAATAGTGTAAATATTTAAAATACTTCATCTCAGAATTATAGACAGGTCTTGAAGAAGGCCGGAGCTTATAACGGCCGAAACGTCGTGAATACGACAATAAAGATGAGGATAACAGTTCCAACAATATAAATAGTGTAAATAATTACAGTACATCATGTCAGAAATAGATAGATAAAGAAATTATCCACTTAAAAATAGCAAAAAGTCAATCACCAAGGCTTCCAATCAATAAGGCTTCTAATCTTCGAAATTTTCAAGAGTTTACACGGTTTTTTGATATCATTCAGAAAGTTTCTTATTAAAAGATTTCCAATACGCAAAACATGACTCCACAATTAATAAGTTATTTAGTTAGAACCAACTTAACGCCAGGCGACAACATCCAAATTGACACACACCTCTACAGAATCTAGATTGCAAAAAGCACTCACTTACCAAGGCAACGCAACGTGTAATAAATCCTGATGCCAAGTCTGTAAGCATATTATCACCGATATAGTCACCTGGCACATACATAGGAATTTGGCTTCCATCTTTGACTTGTGACAGTTCAAATATAATATATATAATTATTAGCAACAAATGAAACAAAAAAAATGGGTAATTATATTGGTAAAAGAAATATTCTATCTATACGCATGAAAGTCTATCAAAGACAACAACATCACTTTCACTGTAAAAGCACATTTTAACCAACCGATAGAATGGTTTTGAGCGAGTGAAATCTGTCGGCTTTGACGAAGGGCTTCGTACGTTTCAGTGTAGCCCACTTGGTTCGGTGTGACTGATTCGGCGTCAGAAAAATAATTCGATTATTCAGCACAGTCGTTTAGGCGTCAGACTGTTTCGACGTCATTGTCTTCGACCGGAGGCAACCGCAACCCGTAAAAAGATAAAAGCATTGAAAACAACCAACTTTTAATATGACTATTTAGTCATTTAGGGAATGAAAAATCCTATTAATGGAATAATGTAAATTAAAAATTTAAATTAACAATATTGTATTTCAAAAAACATTAAAAAACTTAGTAAAGCTATTTAATTTTAGAAATTACTAGCAGTAGAGCCCGGTGTTGCCCGGGGATGTAACAGTAAGAGATAGATCAAGTATCGATCATCATAAAGACTGAAAAATAAAATTGACAAAGATTATTGTTTAAGGTTGATGGACACGCATGTCTTAATTAGTTTTCTTTTTTTTTCACGAATTGGTCAAACCCAAACTCAAACAAAAACATTGTTTTCAATCGTTATGAGTCTACCGATTGAATAGAATTTTATTATAAACAATTGTCTTGTAAATAGAATTTTTAAAGCATTCTGAATGTAAAAATAAAAAAAAAAGTGTGCAAGACAATAAGAAACACTACCTGCCAAAAAAAGTGAAGTTTTGTTGAAATCGGTTGAAAAATGTAGGAAATCCGATCCCATATATAAACGAAACACACACACACACACACACACACACACACACACACACACACACACACACACACACAACCTGGGTTTTATAATAAGTATAACTCGATATCAATAAGTATAACTCGATATGAGTTGTCCCCTTTTCATTAATGCTCTTAATCGTGTTTTCACATTGATTTTGTGCAAAAAACAATTGTGTTTTTCCAATTTTTGGCGCTGTCAGAACCACCGCAAGGTAATTTTACGTAGCCCTGTGAAGTTTTGTTGAAATCGGTTGAAAATGTAGGAAATGTGATTCAATACATAAACGAACAGACACACACACACACACAACCTGGGTTTTATAATAAGTATGATTTCTTCATTTTGTATTTATGAGCAATACTTTTCAAGAATTTAATAAGATCTATTTAATCTCAGTTTATATCGATCTTTCTGTTCACATCGGCAAAATTTTAATTCAGGATCTCCCTTGCTCGTTGCATCAAAAATAAAAAAGGTATCCATCGTGTATCACTGTTTCTTCCACGTTTTGATAAAATATTTGCTTCCATTTTGGAATAAAATTGTTTTGACGACTGAAAGAGAGAGAGAGAGAGAGAGAGAGAGAGAGAGAGAGAGAGAGAGAGAGACGTCTTATTGTCCCTTTGCCGAAAAATTTCTATGTCGAATCAGCGACGGCAAATGGGCTACACCGGAATGTACCATTCCTTTGACGAAGACCACACTACTCCGAAATTTGTAGACTGGCGCTACAGAATCCCAAACAAAGAGAGGGAGAAAGAGGGAGAGAGCAAGCAAGCAAACAAATTTGACTATAACGAGGAAGTACTAATCTGACGACTGATCCCCCCCCGCCGAAAAATTGTCGAATCAGCGACGCCAAATTGGCTAAACCGGAAAGTCCCATACCCTTGACGAAGACCACACCTCTCCGAAATTCTTAGACTGGCGCTACAGAATCCCTAACAAAGAACGATACAAAATGAAATAAACCACATCACTTGAGGACATCCAACGACAGTAACAGCTAAAATGAATAGCACATCTAACTCCAAGAGAAAATAATGACTTAATTAAGATGTTTTACACTATTTTCAATTAAAAAGATTAAGAAGGAAACTCCTGTCAATACTGGAAAGAGCGATAACAGCTACTGAACTTGAGAAACGAATTTTAAAAAAAAATTGTTTTAAAAGAAAGATTTTTAAAAATTCAACTGGCAGTAGTACAAGCTGCTCTGTTGATGAAAGCCAAATATTTCCTTAATATTTCCGGTTAATATTACGATTAGAGATGGTGCAAACAGATACTAAACTTTGATCCCAACCCGAGGACCATGGAGTGAAGAAGAACGTAATTCGAGTAGCACTGGCTGCTCGGTCAATGATTGCGTATTGCTTCCTTATGAGGAAACGGCTAATATTACCTTTATCATTAGAGATGTGTAGAACAGACACTACACTTTGGTCCCATCCCGAGGGCCAGGAAGTGAAGATAACGTCACTCGAGTAGCACTGGCTGCTCGGTCAATGATTGCCGAATGTTTCCTTATAAAGAGACGGCTAATATTACCATTATCATTAGAGATCAGGAGAACAGATACTACACTTTGATCTCAGCTCGAGGGCTAAGAAGTGGAGAAGAACGTCACTCACTAAAGGACACAAATGTGACTGAGCACGCGACTGCAGCAGGGAGTAGTTAACACCCGTCCAGGAGAGGGGCGTATTCAGACACTTCAATATCACCTCCCCGAATGAGTCCCACTAGATTCACACGTATCATTCCGTTCGGACAACACGATAAGAGCCTATGCGGAGGCCGAATAAGACATTTCAAGAACCAGTTGAAGAGAATCCCTGACGCAGGCCACCATCGAACCTGAGACCGGGAAAAACGTTGCTGTCTTTGCAGATATTTAACCACATCCGACATTGACTGAGACTTTCAAGTGCAACTGTCAACATGAAGCGGATCTGCGACGTGCTGTCAGGAGGTCCTGACTCGCCCGGCCGCGTCCACCACCCACACTCCTCTGTGACCCCGGCTCACGGCTCTTCAGTAGTAGGTTGGGCCTTCACAGCCATCTCCACAACCACCGCTACCAGGGCAAAGAAAGGAAATAAAGAGAGAGTATAGAGATGACGTTCCCAATGCTAGGATGCCAGCGGTTACAGGCTACTACTAATAAATATCTATCTATCTATCTATCTATCTATCTATCTATCTATCTATCTATCTGTCAGTCTAGTGAACAATCTATCTTGATTTTCATTTCATATTATCTATATCTATCTATCTATCTATCTATCTATCTATCTGTTGTGGTCTGTTCACATCTATCTATCTATCTATGTATCTATCTATCTATCTATCTGTTTATATCTACCTGTCAGTCTAGTGAACAATCGGCTGATTTCAGTCTATCTATCTATCTATCTATCCCTTGTGGTCTCTTCACATCTATCTATCTATCTGTCTGTTTATCTCTGCCACTCAGTCTAGTGAACAATCGGTTGATTTCAGTATGTTTATCTATCTATCTATCTATCTATCTATCTATCTATCTATCTATCTATCTATCTATCTCATTCTGTTCATTATCTATCTATCTATCTATCTATCTATCTATCTATCTATCTATCTATCTAGTTGTATCTTAATATCTATCTATTGTTTTGCTAATATCTATTTGTTACTTTGTTATCATCTATCTATCTATCTATCTATCTATCTATCTATCTATCTATCTCAGTCTGTTCCTATCTATCTATCTATCTATCTATCTATCTATCTTGTATCTATAAAAAGAATACCCGCTCGGCCCGGTGGCTAGGATCAAAGTGTAGTATCTGCGCTTTGTGAGCTGCCGGGTCGGTGTTCGTCGAACCTCTGCTTGCAGAGAGGAACCCGGACGAGGCTCCGCCGAAGGGTAGGGTTTCGTTCGGGGAGGTTGACGGAACTAGCCCGCTTGGACGGGTTTAGATGGGTTTTATTTTTGGCTGGGCCTACGGGCTCAGACATACCCACATTAAAAAGGCCTTGTGCCACATTCAATTCCTGTGGGTGAATTGATAAATACCATCTATCTATCTATCTATCTCAGTCTGTTCCTATCTATCTATCTATCTATCTATCTATCATTCCGTGAATGAATCTATCTATATTTCGTTTTACCTGTGAATGAATCTTTTTTTCAGTTTAAGTAAATGTGTTAGTCTCTTTCTATTTATCCAGCTATCTTTCTTTTTTTATCTATCTATCTATCTATCTATCTATCTATCTATCTATCTATCTAGTGGTATCTTAATATCTATCTATTGTTTTGCTAATATCTATTTGTTACTTTGTTAGCATCTATCTATCTATCTATTATCTATCTATCTATCTAAGTCTGTTCCTATCTATCTATCTATCTATCTCAGTCTGTTCATATCTATCTATCTATCTATCTATCTATCTTCTCGGCTGCGAGCGGGTGTCGACTACTACAATTATTTCTACTACTACTTACTGCCCATTACGGGTACATAAGTATTCACAAATATCATCTACCCGCACGTACTTGTCTCTGTCATTTAGCCCACGCCTGTGTCTGTGTGTTCAAACCTACATTTTTTTTTTCTATTGAAAGATGTTTGTCTGGTTTCAGATTTTCTGTTGACTAAAAGAGGAAAACCTCACCGATAAGAGAGATTCTTACGAAGCCTGGACGAAAAGCTGTTTTATTTTCTTTCAATCTGATAAATTCTCTCGGCTTCTAAAATTCTGACTTTTGCTAGAGTCTAGATTATCACACACACACACACACACACACACACACACACATATCCATCAAAACAATAACAGCGATTTCCCAGTTGTTATACACTACAAACAACTGAGGCAACAGATCTCTTTACAAACAATTTTATTTTCCATTCATTTTATATTTCTCTTCTCGCTGGCATGTCCGAAAATTCCGATTTTTAACATCATGTTTCCAATTGTTTTAAAGGCCGATTAATTCGCAATTACGCTTTAAAGTAGGCGCCCGAGGGCTGTCGTCAGTGATGTTTTGATTTGGTTCATCAGGGAGTTTCGGGTCTTTCAACATCATACTCCCCCATCACCAAATCGACCTAACCAGGGGAGATCAATCCCTGATTCCTCCTCACAGTCAAACGCTAACAGCCACTCTGGCCTTTTTAAAGAATAAGAGGAAGAAAGACCACATACTCCGCACATCCGATTGGATGTTTGTAACAACCAATCCGGTGCGCGAAATATCTTTTAAATGGCCCGCGGTGGGGACTAGATTCTTTTCTTATTTCGGTGGATTGCTGTTTCGATGGATGAGCAAGGAGGTAATCTTAATGTTCCCGATTAATATACAATAAATATTATTGTCATTATTATTATTTTTTGTGATTTTATATGTCTCGAATTTCATCTATTACAGATTCCGCTAAAAAAGGTAGACACACTTCAGAAAATGAAAAAAACATGCCTTTCGTAGATTTATCAAACTGCAATAACACGGTTGTAGTATTTTTCTCTCATCCATAAGTTCTAAATGATGATGTGTATCTCAGAAAACCGATTGCCGTAGCGGCTCTTAGACAAGAAATTGAAAATGTATGTTCAGCAATCTCACTGGAGACTTTGGCCAATGTTGCCCAATCAAAAGTTCTCCGTAATAATAAATGTCTGGAAGCTAAAGGCCACCATTTTGCGCATCTCTTGTGATTGTAGAGTTCAAAAGTAACTTGTATTAATCTCGTGATGTCTGAATAGATTTAGTATTATAATATATATACGAGTTTTTTTTTTAATTGTTTATACATATTTGCACTAATAATTACATAATTATATTGCGACAACCCTATTTGATATGGGGGACCATAAAAATGTTTTGTATCGCAGAAGACCGAATACATTTGCAGCCCTTAGACAAAAAATTGAACATGGATTTGCAGTAAACCCACTGATGACGTTGGCCAAAGTTGGCCAAACATTAGTTCAATGTACTAATAAATGTCTGATCTCTTGTAATTATAGTGTCCAAAGGTAACATCTGTCTATATTTCTGAGATGAGGTATTATGTACACTATTTATATTATTCGGACTATTGTCCTCATCTTTGTTGCTATATTTATTACAACGTTTCGGCCCTTCAGGATCTGTGTATATTTCTGAGATGAGGTATTATGTACATTATTTACATTATTCGGACTATTGTCCTCATCTTTGTAGCCATATTTATTCCAACGTTTCGGCCATTCAGTATCTGTCTATATTTCTGAGATGAGGTATTATGTACATTATTTACATTATTCGGACTACTGTCCTCATCTTTGTAGCTATATTATTTCCAACGTTTCGGCCCTTCAGTATCTGTCTATATTTCAGTATTATGTCTATGCATTATCCGAACTATTGATCTTTGTCGTCATATTTATTACAACGTTTCGGCCTTTCAGTATCTGTCATTTTCTGAGACTATTATGTACACTATCTGCATTATTCGGACCATTGTCATCTTTGTCGCCATATTTATTACAACGTTTCGGCCTTTCAGTATCTGTCTATATTTCTGAGATGAGGTATTATGTACATTATTTACATTATTCGGACTACTGTCCTCATCTTTGTAGCTATATTATTTCCAACGTTTCGGCCCTTCAGTATCTGTCTATATTTCTGAGATGAGGTATTATGTACACTATTTACATCATTCGGACTATTGTCCTCATCTTTGTCGCCATATTTATTACAACGTTTCGGCCTTTCAGTATCTGTCTATATTTCTGAGATGAGGTATTATGTACACTATTTACATTATTCGAACTATTACAACGTTTCGGCCGTTGTACTCCGGCATTCTTCAGGTGGTTGGAATGTCGAATTGAACCCTTTATTTCGCTCACTGGGGTAGACTGTTCTAGTGCCATGTTTAATGGATGTCAATTATCAGTTATCTCCTGTTAATTTCCCTCAAGGACACATGGCACAGTGGATAAAGGCGTTAGTTAGATCCAGTGACAGAACCCAAAGAGTGTGAGTTCAATACCTGGTTAAAGCAGTGGAGAACTTTAACAGGAGGTAACTAATAAGTGACATCTATTAAAGATGGCACGTGTAGCTATAACAGTCTACCCCAGTGAGTGATATAAAGGGTTAAGTTCGACATTCCCACCACCTGAAGAATGCCGGAGCGTTCAAAGGCCGAAACGTTGTAATAAATATGGAAACAAAGATGAGGACAATAGTCCGAATAATGTAAACTTGTATTAATCTCGTGAACTAATCAAGGGAAGTTTAATGCTCATGCCTTTGTCATAACTAAATGAAAATACCAACCAGGTTTCAGTCAGTTATGTGCCATGCGTGATACACGCTTAGGAGATCCTGTATCTTTCGATACACGACTGACGAGGCAGATTTTTCCCCGCAGTAGGTTGTCATTTCTTTCTGCGGTAGACCAATTGCCATCCAAGGCTATAGAACCCTGTCTGTCCTGCTATTTCCTCATAGCTGGGCGGGAGGAGAAGAAGAGGATTTATACCTTCCCCAAGGGTATTAGCATCTAAGTGAATCTAATGGATTTGGAATTTGAACTCGGCTCTCCGATTCCTTAATCAGTGCCGCTATCCATTACTCCACCCTACCTCCCCAACTGAATTTTAATCGCTTCTGCTGCATATTCTCCCGTCTATTCGTCAATGCTTGAAAGGATATATCACATGAATGACGAAAGGTAGGAGCCAGCCAATGGAATTTTAATACACCTGCCTAAATAAAATTCGTAGCTAACTATTATTAGGTTGGTGAAAGAAATAATGACGTAATAATGTCGTTTTTTGACGTATTTTTTAACGTCAAAAAACGACATTATTACGTCATTGTTTTTACACCAACCTAATACACACACGCACATGTTGAATTTTGTACGGAGTTGGCAAACACTGTCAAAATTTAGAATATTTATGCAACAGTCATTTAACAAAAAATACATTTTACTAAATAAGAAATTGTAAATACAAATGTCAAATGATTCAAAGGCTGTTACCCCTACTGACACTCATGACAAATATCAACATATATATGAAGAAAAATATACAGAAAAAACAAACAAAAATCTTAATATGCAATTATGTCCATCGTCTTTTCGTGTTGAATTTTGATATATTCTAATGTTAATTATGTTTAAATGAAAATGTCCTGAAGATGGTCTGAAATAGACCGAAACGTATGACGTTGACTTTATATTAACATTAATACAGCATAATTGCATATTAAGATTTTTTTTTTTTTTTTGTATATTTTTCTTCATATATATATATATATATATATATATATATATATATATATATATATGTGTGTGTGTGTGTGTGTGTTTGTGTGTTTGTACCTGTCTGTGTGTGAGAGAGAATAATTTACTGAATTGTAATGTCATGTGTTTTGTTTTCTCCGGTTTATTCCCTATTGTTTATCTTGCCTTGAACAGATATGGCATGTGAAAAACAAAATATAATAAACAGAAACGGGAGTTTTAATGCTTATGCCTTTGCTACAAGTAAATAAAATAGTGAGAAACCAATTATTTATCGAATTTTAATGTCTTGTTCTACGCATTTCCCTCATTTATTCGCCATTGGTTAGAATGATTAAGGACAAAGGCATCTCCCCGCCATGAGACAGGATAAAAGCATTTATAATTCATTAAAAAAAAAAAAAAGATTCATTCACGTCAAAGTAAAGAATTGTTGAACGAAAGCCGTAATTATAATGGCGTTTAGAATTATCGCAAATTTTCGGTTCGTATTAATACTTATTCTTATATTAGAAGTAAAAATAAAGGTTTATAATGAATGGTTAGACGTGTCACGTTTCAAAGACACGAGGAGTAAACAGAAAAGTGTAAGCCAGTACTGCTTGTGTGAAAATTACGGATAAAAGCAAGAGACATACTGGTATGTGCACGTGTGTGGCAATGTCTTCAGCCCACACATAAATTGCGTTTATACTTTTCTTTATTGTTTACTTGTATGCTGTCTTTATTTTTACAGTAGCATTCACCCTGTACGCGGTAGAGGGTTACAGAGTAAGAGATGCAGCTTATGCAGACATGTGCGCGAAGATAACAGTTAACCCTAGACGAACCGGTTAAGATCATGGAAGCAGCCACTTTGGAATCTGTTCCACAAGGCGTCGGTTCTTGGGAAGTAGCTGCTTGAGTGGAAACCACAAGGGGGTATGAAGAGAATAAGGGTGTTTCGCTACAATGTGCTTGGCATAGCGGTTTTTATCCATGAAGGTTAGGAAAGTTGAAACTAAAGAATGTCGTTCATCTGAACGCTCACCATGGAAAAATCGACAAAGCAGTGAGTGGCTTGTGACATCTCGTTTGTGAGAAATGGGTTGCATATTGGAAAATAATTCGCCACCTACAAGGACGCTTTTAGTCTCTGTCGGGTGTTAAAAGAGAAGACAAAACGGCTCCCGTCCTTATCTGACAGCAGTACTCGATCTTATTGCTTAATCTGGTTCT